AGATGTACCACAGTCTCAAATAATGACACCACTAGCTCTCGCAGTCTAGGGTTAGTCAAATAGTGAACTCGTGCACTATACCAAGGGCGTTTTCCTTCAGGTTATTTGAAAGTCAGAGGCTCTACTGTGCTTAAGGAATTTCCTAGGCTTTAAAGAAAGAAGTCTATTCTTTGAGAGCTAAAGAGCTCAGGGGATTAACTGCAGGTTTGCTGCTAGCTAAATCCTTGAGAGTGTGTGTGGTGCTTGGTGGGTTGGTGTGTTCGTGTCCTTTTTGCTCTCAGAGAACCTCTCCTATTTATACCTTTCAGCCTGTTGTTCCTTAGCCAATAGCAAAACTGGCTCTTCTATTCTACTGTAATTACTAAGCTACTTCTACTTTTATTAATAAGCATTTTGTCTGTATTAGTCAGCCTTCTGTCTGTTTTACTAATGTATTGGTAAGCTATTACTAATGTTTGTTAGAGTATTACTATATTTTGGTAATTCATAGCTGTTGAGCATAGACCTTTACTAAGCATGGTTTCTAGATTACTAAGAAGCTGAGTCATATTATTAGTCATTGATTCACTTTTAGTAAGCTTAAGTGTTTATGCTTACTTTGCAGCTCTGAGTAAGCAGTTTCTTTTTGATTTGAATACCTATTATTCCTTTAGTTTTCCTATACTTATAGTTATAGTGCATGACAGCGGCAACATGAGGGGCACATGAGGTAGACGGCAAAGTTGTCACCGAGATCAAGCTGCTTTACTGTCGTCCTCAGAGTCTGCGGTACGTCGGTTTTCTGGTCAACGAAACCAAAGACAGTGAAGAGATAGTGAAGAACTGTAATGAGAATATTGATGGCGCGATGGGATACTGAGTGCTCCGAGTGCAGGAAGGCGCAAAGGAGCATTATTGGCCTCCAGAACCAAAGATCGCGGGAGGACTTGATGGCTTTGTGCGCAGAGAGCTTATGCTCAAAGACCTGATGCGGCCACTGTTGCGGCTGCGCCGCAGTGACTTGCAGGTCCTCTGCCAGTACCGTCCGCGAAGGTTGCTCCAGAACATCAGGGAGCGCAGGCTCACCAGGATCTGGAATGCAGACATTGACGTCTTCAGCTGCTCCTATTAGCAAATCAGTTCTGGTGCACTAGAAAGCATCGACTCACCGAGATCAGCAATTAATTCAGCACCATGGGCATCCGTGTTGGTATTGACGTCTTCAGGTACCACCTGCGAAAGGCGTTCTGGAACACCGGGAAGTGAGAGCTTGCTGGGATCTGAGATCAGCCCAATACTTTGGTCTTGGACGTCGATTCCGGCAGCCTGTGACCCTGGACCAGAGTCCGAATAATCTGCCGAGGTGTGGCCCACAGAGTAGTTGTTATCCTTCGGGATCTCGGGCAGTGATGGTGCAATGGCATCTGCGGCAGGACTCAGTGCAGCGGCAAAGATAGCGGTGGGGGCTGGGAATAAAAGGGATGTACCCGGCAAGGACTCTGCAGTAGAAGAAGTTGGTGGCGTGGATAGATGGTCGGGACTGTGTGGTACGACACTGCCGAGCAGAGAGCCTCGGTCACTATCAGACGTCAAGGTTGCAGTGACTATATGCGCCATAGCTGCACTCTCTACATTGGGTGTGGCGTCGTTGGCGATTTTGAAACTGACTGGGTGTGATGGAGGAGCTGCGAGCATGCTCGTGCTGGTGGTGGACTGCACTGCGGCACTAGTAGCAGCAATGGCAGCATTCTTCTTCTTCTTCTTCATGTGACGTTGAGCAAGGAACTCGTCGAGAGTTATTTCATTGGCTGTGTCGCTCTCGCTGCTCAATTCTTTGCCCTTCGGTGCAATCTCATAGTTGCGTTTTGCATGGCTATGCTGGGTGTGGTACATCAGGGAAAAATGACTTTGCTACATAGTATTACGAAGCCAGTGTAGAAGTCGAAGCAGTCGGAGAATGGTCCCCCTTTCAGTAGCAAGCACCGAACACGTCCCTGCTCCGGAAGCACTCTCGTAGTAACCACTAGTCTCAGGAGCACTCTCGTAGTAACCACTAGTCTCAGGAGCACTCTTGTAGCAACTCTGAGGTATAATTGTAGCTTGCCCCATGTAAGCAATATTGCACCTGGTATTGTAGCATTGATAACCAATCACCCATCTCATCATACAAGTATCATCAGAGCATTAATATTGAATAGCATATTAACTATTTTACAGGGCTGTATTTACACAGAATGTCTTGTACTACCACTTGAATGAGCATGGGCAAACATTACATTAGTATGTATCACCTTGAGCACACAGCTGGATGTGGCACACTGAGGTAACATACAAGGACGGCGTCAGGCTGCGGTACTCTGGGGAAGAGCGCCGCGGGCAACACAAAGTCAGTGCCGGCAGTGGACACGTTTGTGTGGTTGAAGAGCGCGAGTGCACGCACATGCGCTATCACCTGGTCGTAGATGGTGCAGCCACATGCGTGGTGCTGTAGTTGCTTTGCGAGCCGTCTATGCTGAGATTAAGGACGCGGCTCCCATTCGCGCTCATAGGCGCCCCCGCTACAGCGAGCACCGCATAGAAATTCGCAATCATGTTCGCACTACCCACACTCGCACCGCCCGCGACACCCGCCAGCAGCTCGAGCAGGTTGTACGATATGCCCAGCTTGTGCGTGCACAGGTACGCGCCTGAGTAGCCGACGCTTGCCATCTGCAGCATATAATCCACCATTCAGAGGCTGACAGCGAGCTTGTTGGACCCGAGGACTCCACCACAAGAGGCGGAATCAAACTCGTCCATCAGTAGGGGCTGCGCTGGTTGGACGGCGTCGAGACAATGGCCTGGAGGTCCAAGTGCCGACCCCGGTGAGCCTTCATACACGGTACCTGTGCGAGCCGTGCTTACCACTTTCTCTCCGCCACTCACGGGCTCGTCTTCACCGCTCAATGATATGCCACTGAGCCTCTCGCTGGTATTCATGCTTGCTGTTCAATGACGGGCGCACCCACATGTCTCTCGAGCAGCTGCACAGGATGCCGGTCATTGCGCCTGCCAACCTGCCCGCCAGCCTGGCACTTCCACCGCCGCCTCCACTGGACGACTACCTACCCATTTCGCATGGCTGCCTACCTGCTATCTGCCACTCTTCCTCCACCCCTGCCCCAGTGCTGCACAGCCTCCTGCTTCTGCCGTGACTGCTCGACCGCTCGACCGCGTTGCGGCAACAATGAAGAGCTGTGTGGCCGCAGTGCGTCACATCAAAAGTAGTTAGTGACGGAGCCCATCTTCAATCTCAGAACACTTACTTTGCTCGTAGCATATCACCTGCTTGTCATCGCAGGGCAGAGCTAAGGATGGGAGAAGAACTGAGACGCAACGATGTGGCAACGAACCAATAGCGCCATCAGTTTAGGGCCGGCGTTGACAGACTTGGACAGTCGTGCATCGCTCCAAGCGCCCGCACAAAGTAGTGTCTCATTCTCGTGTGCGGACTTTCTGAACGACTGTAGTACTAGCTAGTTGGTTACAGGAATCATTATATTACTAGAAAATGAGTAATTGTGGCTATAATGAAAACAGAAGGTGAGCCTCTACTCCGATGCCACTACCGCAACTCCTTGTGCTACGTGGTGGGCAGCTCCGCGCGCCGCTAGCTTCGGACGCTTCGGACGCTTTGGTAGTGAAGCCCCTACTACGGCGCCAAACAGTGTTTCCTGATGTATGGCACGAGCTTGCCATTGCACACTGAACACCAGCAGGGTACGAGCTGCTGTGCACTCTTCACCTGTATATCTTACTCAATGAGACATAATAGAAAGATTATAAGTCAAATATAGTCACCTTCCCGGTTGAGGTACATTTGCGGCCTGACGACATGCGAGGCGTACCAGGCGGTGGTGGAAGTAAATGACAGAGAAAAAAACTCCTGCCACATTTAGCAAAGTGCGTCAGCTTCAAAAACTGTGGAAGTGTTTAGATGACCTTTCTGAAGCACCTCCAGCTCTTTACAGGCTGCCTACTCGAGCCTCTGCATAGGCGAGCTGAAGGTTGCGCGAACAGGCTTGGTTAGCCTGACTTAGGCGCCCTAGCACCATTTGAACTAACCTCCGGCCAGCCCATCTGTATGTCGCCCTCATACTTATCATACTCTCTCCTGTACTGAGCTTATTATATTATTCTTAGAAATACCCTTACTTCTACCTCTCGACACACTCACTATACTCAAGTCATACAAAAGGTCGGACACACAGTGATTGCCCACGAAGGCGGCGACGGTGGCGAGGAGAAC